AGAGGGCATAGAGTTCAGGATTCAAGGCCTGACTAAAACTAGAACTCCTGGAAAGGATGTTGTCTTTTTTTTCCCAGCCCTTAAAGACAATGTTTAGTTGTGTCCAGTGGCCTGTCTCAGGGAATACATTAAGAAAACAGAAAAGCTCCGCAATCATAGCAGTGTTAGTAAGCCTTTATTTCTAGCCACTCAGAAACCTTTTTCTCCTGTTTCATCGACATCTATAGGTAGATGGCTGAAGCTGACTTTACAAGATTCTGGGATAGACACTAGTGTCTTTAAAGCTCATTCAACACAAGGTGCTTCTTTCTCTGCAGCAAGACAGGGTGGTGTATTTGTCAAAGATATCTTGGCAGCAGCCGACTGGTCTAGAGAGACAACTTTCAATCATTTCTACTACAGCCCTCGTCACTCAGCTTCCTTTGGCACAGTAGTCATTTCATAGGTCAGTGGCTTTCAACGAGACCAATTAGTGAATTCGGAGTGCAACATGCTATAGAATTGTAGATTGTGCTAGGCTACAAAGTAGCTGAAGTACAATCAGAATTCTATTATTGTTGCACGAAGAATTCCCTAATTCCCTCCCTCCCTGTTCCATAACTACAGTGTCAACACTAGTCTTTTTATTTCGTTGCAGATTGGACTCATTTCGTCTACTGGTTCCAGGATTATTGTTGCTTTGTGTCATTCGGTTTAAAGGAAATAAACAAAATGTTTATCTCATTTCATAGTTTGTTTATCTTGTTGTGGCAAAATATCTTATCAAAATAGGCAGTTGACTCAGGTATTTCCATTATTTATCCCTTTTTTTTTCAACGACCTTTTTGGTGACTTACTTATGGCGAGTAGTTGTAAAGGAAGAAGGTTTCTCTGTAGCTCAACCAAGCTTTTCATATCGATAAACGTATTTATCATAATTACTATAGTTCGGTTCGTTTGGAGCCTATGTGACAAAGGCTTAACATGGGTGATTTTCAATTACACTTTGACAATGAACCAAAACAAAGGTACGCAAGTCGTAAGTTACGTTGAATACCTTTTGACATAATTATAATCACATATTTGAGTGCCTTCGAAATTCCGACAAATTTATCATTCCAAATTAGAGGCGTTCACAGATTCTCACGTCATTCCCTTTTTGCTACACCCGAAAAAGATGGTGATTTCTAATGTTGTTGTTCTTGTTGTTCGAATGGATTAGCATGGGGCGTTTCCTAAAACAAGCCGGGTACTTAACCTGCCTAAGGTAAAAATGTATAAAACCAAACTTTAGTCTTCTAATAATGTTACAAGTTTTAGGAACTGTGCCAATTGCGCAAGACATTTGTCTTTTTTTCTTGCTACAAAACAACGTCCCCGTTGTTTTCTACAAAAGACTAAACACCACGACGACAGGGTAAATCAACTGCATTATTATTAAGAAAGTCATGCTCTTGAGGAACACAGACAGGTATCTTTTAATGAATCAATTTGTAGGAAGAATATAAATCAAGGTATTTTTTCAAGAAATACCACACACGTATGTTTGCTCAAAATTTTTTCTGCCTACAATTCTACGAGCGATCCCCTACAATTTTCAAACGGCTCATAAGTGTATGTAAGTAGTTTGATGCTTACGATCCAAATTACTCGTCCTTTCCACCTTCAGGGTTTCCTCAAGCTCTGTGATCCGTAATTCAAGAATTTGTTTCTCTTTCCTCCATTTTTCTTCCATTAGCTTCATCAGGGCTATCTCATTTTCATTTGGTTTGAAGCAAAGAAAAGAGTCCGATTTCCTTCGAGTTCTTCGTCCAGGCCGATCTTGCTGTTCCACACTTGGCGCTAAAAGAAGGATTAGCCAACAAGAACATTGAGAATGTACTTCGATTGAAAGGTGACTGATCTATCAAAAGAACGATTCGATGACGGTAGAAAACGTTCTAAACTTTTATCAAAAACCCAGCAGCCATTTTAGGTCAGCGAACTCATTTTGAATTAGAGCTTGAATAACATGATGTAATTGCAAAAAATTAGCAGATCTGATTGGTTCTAACCAGTCCTTTTATGCTGTTTAGTTTGGCTGATGTAGCCAGAACTTGGCAAAATAACCTGGCTAATTAGAACCTACTTGTAATCAGACTTGTAAAATTAGACAGGTAAAAAGCCGGTGAGAAACAATATGAAAATACTAAGAGCAAAAAAAATGAGATTTAATTACGTAGCCGATAAATCAAAAACTAAAGATTAAGTTTTCGCTCATCTGGATCCCCGTTCCGAGCAAAGTGACGTTAAATGCAACGAAAAACAACGGCCTAGCTCTCATAAGCAGCCTGCTGAACACTATTGGGAAAGAAAGCAATGGCAAAACACCAATTACGCAAGTTTCCAGTTTAAATAACCGAACTTAAAAAAAAAAGGATATGAGTTTTGAACTACTTTTTCTCCATTTTTATCACCCGCCTGTCTACACCGTGCATTATACTCCTCTAATAGTGCCATAACCATTACTTCACATCAATTCTTTACATTTTAGCTTATACATGGAAAATGTCCTTATATAAGCCATTCGTTACCTTGACTATTTATTACAAGCATACCTCGATGAAGTAAAAATAAATCGAAGTAGGCTTCATTATACTCATGTTCATCAATAGACACGGTCACTACAATGTCTTCTCCATTCGCAAGCTGCTTAATTACATCAGTAACAAGGAATTCTTGGAGACGACTCTGCAATGTTCCATCTTTGTAGATGTCCCATAATTCCTTCAAAGCAGCTAAATTCTCAGCTTCTACCGTGAAGCGTATAGAACCATTATTGATCTCCAGCAGCTTGTTGGATGAAGGTAAAACGACTCTTTCGAAGGTCTCCTGGTAGTCTTGGCGACTGGAGCACTTCTGCAAAGCCATCATGCCACTGTTCACCGTTACAAGACCACCAGCAACGGTACGAAAATTGCATCGCAGAGGTCAGTGGTTCGAATCCCATACAGGCCTGATTTTTTTCAGGTATGATTTTCGCTATTGCATAAATAGCGCTCTCTACTGCGAGGATCGTGCATCATACGTATCTTTAGTTTTCTTCACACCGCTGATCTTCTGTTTTTCTACACCTTGCAAGGGTTGACAAATTGTTCTCAGTTGTCGAAGTTCCTAACCCTTTTGACCTTACCAGAGTCCTTTCCCATTCTTGTATCATTGAAACGAGATCCAAAGTGTACCATCGCTTGGTGAAAATCTCAATCATTGAACTGACTGTAAATTCACCCGGTGGCTCACTCAACCACTTAGAGACTCTCTGGCGCGGGATTTCTCTAGATGGGTATGTCGCTGGCTCTGGATCAGCGGATTCCAAAATTTGGGCTGGATTTATTTGAGTATTACTTTAATTATTGTCATGCTAAGTAACTCCGGGAGGGAACGCCGACATCTTTTTGCTTGTTTGTTTTGGACACCCATTCGGTCTCCATCTCTTATCAGTGGTGCCCAACTTTGTCACCCATCCCATTTTCAGCTCTGTTGAACTTGGGGGGATTTTTAGGGGCTTTTTCCCACCCTTTTTTTTGGGCGGGCTTTTCCCGCCTTTTCTTTTTCCGAATTTTTTACTTTAATTTAATTTATTTAGCAATCAAGTTTCTGTTACAATAGAAATATAAACAAAAAAACAGGAAAGGGTACCTGGTAAAAATTAAAGGTAACAGTGTTCCGGATTCTGCGCATGGAGGCTTAGAAAACCGCGAATTTATCGAGCCAGTCTCAATTTTTCGGGTCATCATGGTGTTCACTTTTTTGAAGACATGTGTAGTCCACGCCCCCGCGGCAATCTGGGTGATGGAGGGGCCACGTGCGCTCTCAATACTTGGGTGGTGACCGATTTGGAAACACTTTCCGCTGTTCAGTTTATACTGAGAGACCTGATCCGGCTGACTTTTAAAGACCCAGCGGATAAAGATGGACTAGCAGAACAAGGTTCCCTTGCTCTCGATGGCATCGAGTGCAGCGTAGTCAATTCGGATCGTCCGAAAAGTCTTGTTTATGTCTATCATTACCCTACCGAAGGGGATGATGAGAGACTTGCTGATGAGTTCCGATAATAGGGGAAGATCATTAGTTGTAATCGTCAGTGTTTTGGGGGGCTTGACCAAATTTGATCACTGGTACGCGTTTATTGACCATGACTGTTTCTAAACCTAAATCACCGCCGAAGGGGTGGTTGATGGTTACCCTAGACGGGTTTGGTATAGGGGCATTAAGCCCTTTTGCTTGATCTGCAGAACCATGGGTCATAAGGCGGCCGACTGTAAGTTCAATGGGAAGTGCACTAAATGTGGTATAGTCGAACATCGGGCCCGCGAATGCCCTTCTAGCAGTAGTAAGAATGTTTGGGCCACGCAGTCCACGGATGCTGAGGCTTATGTACCCCCCGGCCACAGAGTTTCCGCCTATGTCAGTCCCTGCCGAGGCTAAGGCCCCTGTGGCTGATGTTATTTTTGGAAGAGAGTGCTGGCCCCTCGCATGCCTCCGGGTCTACTGCGGAGGTGCCTGCTACACTGTCTACAATGGAGACTATTGCCATGGAAATTGCTTCTATCGATCTAAATGAAAGTAGCGACAATGTCATTAATGAATGCATTGAAGTAATTAATGAAAGTAATGAAAGTGCAA